AGGTGGAGCAAATAAAGATTGCACAGTGACAAGAGATGAAAGGCAGAAGTAGAAGAGTAGAGAAGTCGTGCATGAAGGGAAAGTCTAACAGGAGACTGACATTTATATTTTATTTTAACAATAAATTAGCTCGAGCATTGTCTCAGAACCCTTTGTATTTCCTTTGTTGTGTTGATGTGCTTTTGTTGTTGTTGTCAGTTTCACTCCCTACTCCCATCTTTTTCATTTTTTTCCTAAAAACAGCTAATTCAAAATCTGCTATTTTAAGGAACGGAAGCATTCTGCATAGCCTTTTTTTCATTTTAAAAGTGCATTTTGCAAATGTGCCTAAAATGCTACTTAAAAATTGCATTATTGTAATATTAATTGAATTCTGCTTGTCTGGTTGTTCACACTTTCTAGGAAGTAAATAAATGCTTCGAGGTGATGTTTCTTGTCCTTGGCCATGACTTGTTTTTAGTAACACAGCAGCATGGTTGACGCAAAACGTCCAAGAAAAGTCTCTTCATTTAAGGCACGTCATGACTTATTTTCCTTTGTTTGTGAGCAGTTTTGTTTGATTTCCACTCTTGATCTCCCCTTTGCTCTTATCTCATCTCCCCTTCTTTTTCTTGGCTGTTCTGACTCCAATCAATCTGCAGCTTGTCTCTGCTATCACTCTACTTCTATCACCTCATCCCATTTGTTCGTCTCTCTATCTGCTTCTCAATGCACCTCTGAGCAGACTATAAAACACTGACACACTTAGTTCAAAGTGGCCTGAAAACAGGGCACAGAAGGGCAAACACTCCTGATCGAACCTCTGGAGCTTGTGTGATATTAATAAGTGTTTTTGATTTGCTGTGCACATGCATTTTACTGCTTTATAGTTGCTTGTTTTTAGGTTTCTACTTGACTATGACTTAAGAACCTCTCGACAGACAGACTTCCAAAGAGTTCCATGAGAGAGGAATTCTCCATGGAAAACACAGTTTGCAGATGTGTTTGAAGACCTGGACACAGAGCTTTGTAATTCCAATTATATTTTTCTCGCAAGTTTTCGATTTTTATTCCGGGGAACTACTACTTCAGTACTGCAAAACTGTGACGATAGCTTAAACTCGTCTTGCTTTTCTACAGTGATAGTGATTATGTCCGCTGTAGTGGAAACCATGATGTGTTCACGACCAGTTTCTCCAGGAAATGTGACTTTTCATAAACATGTTAGGTGGCAGCCATCAGGTTTTGTCTGTTGCATTCGTGACTAATTGCATTCATCATTTAAACCTCATTTTCCCAGACCAGTGGTGACTACTTTGTGCATAGATAATTAATGGCATACTGCACTGTAGCACAAAGAAATGCTGAGACTAATGTCAGTTATTGAATCCTCAATAACCAGTGTTGAATATTCAGCGCAAGTCGTTATAAAAAAAGTGTGTCTTCCTAATGGAGCTGCATTATCATTATTGAGTTTGAATGGTCAGGAATACAAAGGGACAGCAGTGGTTCATTAATTCATACGAAGCTGTCAGCTTCAATAATAAAATGGAAACTCATCAGTCTGGCTAAAACTTTGAATCTTTAAAGAGAAAACTCAGGCCTAAACACATGGGTGTCTGTTTGCACAGCCTCGCGTGGAATCATCAAAATGAGGCTACTGTTATAGGCCTCTATACCATGAATCATTAATCACTTACTATAATCATGTACTACTCTACATTGTTGAGTACTAGTAAGTAGTTAAGGAAACCAAAACAAATACTATTATATTATATTAATTTATAGAAATGTGTTTTCTTCCTATTGCTTCATTCTTTGCAGTGGGTTTGGGGATGGGGGTTTGACTCGTCGTTATGGGCAGTGTACCTTGGACAGTTGGTCACTCCATCACAGTGTCACTCCAAAACTCTCCTTTTTTCTGCAGTTTAACATTCTCTCTCTCTCTCTCTCTCTCTCTTTCTCTCTCTCTCTACCTCTTTGGTTTTGCATTTCAACATAAAGACTTGTTTTTCTACAATTACCATTTTACTTTTTAAAATAAAAAAAATAAAGAATGATACCCAACACACACACACTGTACATCCAGAAAATGTCATCAATGGCGAATATGCTGCACCACTTATCTATTTTTTAGTTTTATTAACTAACTAACTTATATAACTATATTAACTAATAAGTCCATTGCTCTAAATCAGTGGTTCTCAATGTTTTTCTCCTCTGTACCACCTGAGAAAACATTGATCTCTCTGAGTACCACCATGATGACCAACATTAGAATACAGCAGCAGAGGCCTTCACTGTTAGCTTCCTCCACAGGAGAGATGTTTAGAGATGTTTAGGTTTAAATGTTGTATTAATTGTGCATGGTGTGTTTCAGATTTATTCAATTGAAAATATAAATGTGAAAATATATGAAATGTTTCCCCATGTACCACTAGAGAGCATGCATACCACAGTTTGAGAACCACTGCTCTAAATGAAATCTTAGACTGACAGCTTCTGTTTTAATAATGACCTACTATGGTATATTATCCTTGGGCTTAGTTTCTCTTTAATGTAAATATTTTAAAATCAAATAGATCTAATACTCTTGCCACATTTCTTATTAAGCACATTTCCATCTATTCCAGGAGTCTCACTTTACTTCTCTTTTTAAACACACTCTCCCTCAGCACATCTCATCTCAGCCCTATACTGTATTTAATCATCTGCAAAAGGGTCACTTACCTTCTAATCAGCTCCACTCACCGCAAGTAAACAACCTCATTTTTGAGGCACAGACAGGAATACATTGGAGTTACTCTAATTTACAGTGTTTCCTTTGGAGCAGAACATTCCATCAGTACTAAATCACCGCTTTATTCCTGCCTGACTTCAGACTGATCAGAAACTGTATGATCTATGTCCGTCTTACTGTGAGTTCCTATTATTGAAAAGGCATTTAATCAACTTTGTTTTGATCTCGCAACGAACAACAAGAACGGACGCAGTCAATTTGTGTTCTCCTCTAACTTTTCATTCACCCCTATACCTTTTGTTTTGCTCACATCTATTAAAAGTCACTTGAAAGTTTAATGCACACACACACACACACACACACACGGACATCACATGACATACTCCCCTAATAAGACTATGGTTCACGTCTTTTTTATTATTTATATCAACTTCAGAGAACAATGTTGACTTTGGCAAAATAAAACAGTTTGAATTAGAAACAACAGTAATGGTAAACGTCATCATTATTAATAACTGGCTCTGTTTTTTATAGGCATCTGTTTGTGTGCGGTGTTTGTCTGTGCTTCTCCCTCCTTTGGTGAATCTTCTTTTTTTTTCTGTTTATTCGTGTTGATGTTTGCACTAAAATTATTTTTTTTTATTCAAAACAAAATAAATCACATCATTTTTTAATTGATCCTTACATCATTCCCCAGAAAACATAAAACACATGATGTGACAAATAACATCATTATATATATATATTTATATACCATATATATGTCATGTTGAGATTTTTCTCTTCTCTTTTTTTTCCCTGTCTGATGGTTTTTTTTTCAGTGTTTCTCTCCATAGATCAGTCATCCCAGTACAAATCTTACTAAGAAGAGTTTAGTTTCTTTCTTCAGACATTCACCTTTTCAGATTAACGTGATTTCACTTTGTACAAAGGAGCATTGAGTCACTAAAAATCTTAATTTGATTTCCTCACTAAAAGTTGCAGCTTCTCACCATGCCACAGTGGGATGTATCAGACAATTTGTAGAAGAATCGATCTCCTCTGCCTCTAAGTTTACAGATTCCTTTTACAGCATTTCCAGAAAGCACTAAACTCTTCTTAGAAACAAATGTAGACTGACTGTGCTTCCCCCTTTACAGACATTCATGAACAGGACATGTGCGCACAAAATACACACTCACACACAGGCACGCGAACAACATCCGGTCCCCGATCCATCAATGCATGCACTCCTATGCATCCATTAGCATCACTATATTTTTGGTCCATTATATCCAGTGTACATATGATGGTGTAAAGGAATGCAGCATGTACATGTTCCACTGTACAGCCCTGTCTCTTTCATTTTGTAATCCATATCGACTCCACATTGTAATCCCTGTGTCTTTTAATAATGTCTGTGCCCTCTCGCTCTTTTCAGCCTGTATTGATTGGTCATGTCCAATGCACCCGGGCACTGTATTTACGCTCCCATAATCCACAGGTATGTCCTGCCAAAATCGTTGTCCAGCCTCAGAGGACACATAAAAGTCACAACCACTGTGTCCAGGAGCAGAGTTTCCAAATGGACATTGCTGCTGAAGTCCAGAACATGTTCACAAAGAGGGACAACATTGTTAAACTCTTCAGTGTAGTTGTATTTTTATCAGAGAAAAATAATTCCCCAGTATATCTGCAGTGCTCCCATTTTGATCCATTGTAAATCCATGTGGTGAAAAGGAGTCTGGTTGAGAGGAAGGGTTAACTGTGCAATATTCTGAGCCTTTTCCTCCTCCTCTCCAACTGTCTTTCTCTCGTCTCCCCCCACTTTACCTTTCACCTGCCACCCTGTGTTCTTTTTGGATTGGGTTTTTTTTCTCTGTTAATTTGTTTCAGCTTGAGACCATCCTAAAGCCTCCACAAATTAAATTTTCCCAATTTGCACCAAACATCTTCCTTCCCTGTCATGTCCCTTGGCTACCTTCTTGTCCTCTCATCACCTGCTAGTTTGCCTGAAAATAATAACAATAAAAAAAACCTCTTAAGTCTCTACCTTACTTTCAGGTGTTCGTCCCCCTGTCCTCTTCACTTTTCCTGACTTCCCTCACAGCAAATGAAAAACCCACACAAGTGAGACTTCTGTAAATTTTGCTCTTCTCCCGTGTAGGTAATTCAGTCCTATCCTCCTTTCCTCTTCTGCAGTCATTCCATGTTCCAGGTCCAATCTTTTTAGTCTGTCCAATTCATGATCCCTGTCACATTCTACCCTCCCTCGCTTTTTAAAATTCTCTAACACTGTTCCTTACACAACACTTTCCTCCAATTCTTCAGCATTCCGCCCCTCCTTTCCTCTCTCCTTCCCCTTGTCCTTTACATTTCCTGTCTTTGCACTTGTGAGGGCAGTGTTTGAGTTGGAGTTGGTGGTGTTATACGAGTGGATGTAACCTCTCTGAAACTCACAGCGTGCTCCATAGTTTCCACCACCTTCTGCCTCATCACTGGTTGTTGAAGATGCCGTGCTGGTTGTTGAAGCACATTGCACCAACATTCCATGAAGTGACTGGCTCCGCCTCGTCCAAATCACACTTAATCTCTTGGCATAGCTGACGGCACCATAGCGTTTGGCAACTGTTGCAGCGGCATCAGTTGCTAGCGCTACGGAGGAGCCCATGTCCAGTGAATGGCGCCGTTTACTAACAGTAGCAAAGGCCGGACTCAGTGGAGATATGGGACTCTGATAGGCCTGTGAGGAGTTCCATTTGTCCCTGCCTCTGGGAAATAATCTCCAGTCTAACAGCTCTGAGTCTCTCAGGGGTGCAGCTAGAGAGAAGCTGGCACGATTGGTCAGTTCTCGCTCCAGACGAGGTGTTGGACGCTCCCTGGAGCGTGACTGTCGTGGGAGAGTGGATGGAGGTGAAGGTGAATAGTAAAGGGGAGTTCTGTCACTTTCAGTTGTGTATGCTGACATCTTCTCCAGCTTCCTCTGCCTCACCACCAACGCCATTTCTGCCCCTGTCGTTGTGGAAACAACCCCCCCAGCTGACAGAAACTTTTCCAGGTTTACTTTGGGCTTAGGTCTGGGCTTAGGAGGGAATTTTGGGGGCATAGATGTAGCAGAGTCAGCTGCTTCTGTATCCTTGTCTTTTTCCTTGTCCTTCTCCGCCCCTCCTTTTGATGACGTACCATTGGGCAAGGCCACCATCATCATGTCCCCACTTCCATTTGATGGGTAGCACCCACTGTTATTTCCTCCTTTATCCCCAGCCCCTACATTTCCACCTTGACAGTAGGCCCCGACTCCTGCCTCAGTGTTGCCGTTGTGACAAATGATGTGATCTCCATGGTTACAAACACGATGGCGAACCATAAGGGCCACAGTGAACACAAGTAAAGTTACCACAACAATACCACCGACCAAGATGGTCAGTGTCCCGCCCAAAAAATGGGCTTGAAGAGAACGGCATGGTGGGTAAACATCCTTGGTGGAGAACGTTGTACAGCCCAGAACCTTTGTTGCTGCTAAAGATGTGACTGCATCATCAAAAATGGCCAGCACGCACAAGTTGTAGTCCACACCAGAAACCAAATTTCTCAACAGGAAACGGTCGCTGGTCGAAGGTAGAATTCTAAAACAAAAGGGAAAATATACAAGTTGGTTACCAAAAAAATCCTGCAGTACAGAATGATTGATAGAATATAAGAAAAAATCTTGAGCTTAGCCTGAATATTTTGGAAACTGGAAATCTGAGGCTGAAATAGTGGAAAGAGGAAAGGAAAGAACTTGTGATAGAAGGACGAGCAAAAGTGCAGGAGTGGATACTGCAGTGAAGGAAAGAGGGAAAATGAGGCTATTGATGGAGTGAGCGCCAAGGGAACATGAAAAGAGAACTGTGTTTGCTCATTTGGAGTGCAGCAGTGTGTGTGCGCGCATGTGTGTGTGGCCATACTTCTATGTGAATCCCATTAAACTGCAAAAGTTGGACTTTTGAAATGTATTTAAAAAAAACCCCTGTGAGTTCAGGTCAGTAAAGCCGATGCGAGGCATGTTTTGACTTTCATGTCCAAAGTGTTTGTTTGTCTCTTAGGTGAGTGTCTGTGTGGGATAATACAGAATAGTCATTTCTAAACCAACATCATGAGAAAGGTGAAAAATCAAGAGATGGAAAGAGGTAAACATAATGAAGAGCAGCGGTGATTTCAGTAGAGAAGCATTTTTGTGTTCATCTCAATGCATCCATGGTCGTGCCTGCTTCTCTTTAGACCTCCAGTATAAAAGACTGTTCACATTAATGGTCTTTTGTGTGTGTGACCTGCTGTGGTCCAGTGGTTTTGTGTGGGAGAATGTAGTGCAATTTAAGTATCTGTTGATGACGGGTATGACGCTGTCCTCAACTGCCCAAACCTATTATGTAGGCAACTGTGGGATTTGTTGTGAGTGGATTGGCTTCTATTGTCTGTACTTTAAGGACCTTAGTATCTTTACTTTTTATTCTCATTTATTTGTTAATCTGTAAATTGTTTTGCTAATGCCTCGGGTGCCTTTAAGAATTTCAGTCCACTTTAAGACATTTGACATTTACACGTTTGATCCTGCTTGTTTTTTTTTTCACTTAGAAACCTTACAGATCAACAGACAGATATCACAAACAAAAATCAGTGTTACAGAAATGGGGGGGAGGGGGGAGGGGGGTGATAAATTGATTTTAAAAATGCCGAGATAACAGAGAAGCAAAAGCATTTGGCTCAAGGGAGGCATCAATGGAAACCCATTAATATGAGTTATAATACTGCAAATTATGCTTCACTACTCACTGATCCTTACTGAAAGTTTGAGGTTTACAAGGGAATTCATTTTCCAATTCTGTTTGTAGGATGACATACCCAAAGCTTTGAGTGATATTGCCATCAATTACTGCTGAAGTTCAGAATGATTTGGACACAGATGTACAATAGATCTGTTATATCTAGGTCACAACTTTCACAATTACCAGTCTCTGCTCAGCATCACCTCTAGGATCAGGTGATTGTTACCATGGCAAAGACATATTATTTGCCATCTCTGGGGGCAGTGTCCACACATTTAATCCATTTCCTTGACATTTTAGAGGCTAGAGCTACTAATGCAGCCTGCCATTACTGTTGATCCAGCAACACTGTTTGTTGTTGTTTCAACAGTTTGTTATCAGCTATCCTGTTACATCTGATTAAAATAAAAACTGGCCATCTGAAAATGATGCTCAATATGCCACGAAACAAAATTTAAAATAAGAAAATGGCCAAAGGCAGCCACATTTAACAGGGGGTAGCAGATTGCCTCTGTAAAGTCTAGTAGCAAAGATGCAGCTGCACAAATCACACTGATTAGATGAAATATGCAAGCGGTGACAGTCATAATCCTATAGCTGCCTCTGTTTCTGAATATAAAGCCTTGCTGGTATTATAGGGCTATAAAATGCCTCAAGAAATATTACAGTGTTGTCACTTCATCTGGAGCCTTTATATATATCTCTGTCTCGCAATAAATCCTGCAAGGAATTGACTCTTGACCACTACTGTATGACTTTGAGCCACTCTCTCTTTAAGGAAACCAGTCATTATCAATGCTGGTTTAATTTGACCATTTTTTCCCCATTTTGAGAAGTGTCTGTTTGATTAATGCTGCATATAGACTAGCATTCAGTGCCATAAATGAAACAGTCTTGTTTTTATATAAACCCTTTGTTATATATGGCTACATTGTGGGCCTCAGACAACTGAATATCATTTGTTATGCAGACTTTTTTAAATGGCATGTGTTGTCCTGCAACATATGCATCCAGTTCTATTTTGTCCCTTTCTTCTTATTCTTTCAGCTCTCTATAAATCCCTTGATCTGTCGGTCTAACCTTCATCCATCTTTTCTCAACAGATTTTCATCTCTGTTTTTGC